TATTTTTCTGATAAACACATACCAGCTAAGAAAGATTTAACATTGTCCTGACCTTAAGTAATGTTAATTTCTTTGGCTTTCAGCCTGACAATACTGTCTACTACACTTCTTCAATCTGTCATTATCTTATGAACCCACATACTTAGCCATTTCAATCTTTCCATAGCTTCATCACCTATTACAGATGCTATTTTAGCAGTTTCCAAAATGACTTTATCTACAGATTGATGAATTTCCCCTTTCCTTTTACTAGATGTATCATATTGTTAATTCATTAATATTGAACTCACAACTAAATAGCACTGTAACTCATGCCTGAATGCAGCTTATTATAATGCATGCATATTTTTTTTCCCCTGTAAGGCACATCATAACTTTCTTAGGAACACAAGATAGCAAGCATTTCAGCAATACACTTGTTGCTGTTAAGTGCCTTCAAGTTGGTTCCGATTTATAGCAACCCTGTATAGAGTTTCTAAGGAGCAGCTGGTGAATTTAAACCGCCTCCACTTGAAGGTATTTTAAATGCCAATATCACCAATAAAAATGCACAACAAATGCAATAAAAATGACACTAAACAGACTGCAAAAAGGACACTTACAACATGAGAGCTAAAAAAAAGTAAAGTGTAGCCTTGTTCAACCTCAGCTAGGATTGTGCACACAGGGTGAGTACAATTTAGCACCACTCTATACATATCCACAAATGACTGTGAAACACGACAAGTACTGATTTTGAAGTTATAAAAAGTTTTTAGTGACTTGGAGAATTCACAAATACATTATCACTAAATAATGACGGATCTTCTGTTGTCAGATATTATTTATTAGAATAGCACTTGTATGCTTAACACCCCAATATTCAAAATAAGCAAGAAAAAGTGTTATAAATTTATTACAATCTTAAGAATTATTTTTCATACTATTATATGAAAATGTAATAGAATTTTGTTGAATAAAAACATGATGATGAAAATCAACACAATGTAAAATTATTCTGTCATAAAAAGAAATGCATACACATTGAAAAAAGTGAGTAAACTTTGAAAACAATATACTGAGTGAATTAAGCTAGATACAAAAGGACACTTGCAATATAATCTCCTTTATATAAAATATTTAGAATAGGCAAATGCATGGAGACTAAAGTTAGTGGTTACCAGGGACAGAGGGGAAGAAGGATGGAAGTTATTGCTAAAGAGATACTGATCTGGAGTGATGTAGCACAATACAATGAAAGTATTTAATGTCACACTGAAGTGAACACTTAGAATGGTTAAAATTATAAATTTTGTTAAATGTATATATTTCTACAATGAGATTTATTTTTAAAAAGTTGACATTAAGCTTAAACATGTACAATACTTAGTACTAGATACATGATATCTGATTACTATAAGATACAACAATAAAACTACTTCTACTTTTTCAGTGGATAAAACGAAACAAGAAACTGATACTTGAACAACAAAATAAATAGCAAATAACTTAGCACAGAATTTTTTTTAAATTCCTTGACACTTGCATTTATAAGCATACAGAGTAAATGCTAGTCTATTGTGTAAACTGAATGTTAAGTAAACATGCATTTATCAGCAAAATACATTTAAAGTCTAATTTAACATAGTTTCGTATGCTGATTTTAATAACAGATTATTATTTTTTAACTAGGGTTAAATTTAAATGACTTATTAATTTTAAAGAAAATATTGATTAAAATGCAATGTATAATTAAAGGATAAAAATTAAAAGGCAACATAAAAACATGACAAAATCAGCCCAATCTAAAAAGCATAAAATTTGGGAAACAATCCAACACGATTTTTTTTCTCAAAAGATAACTTCTTATCTAAGTTGAAAGATGAGCTTCATTAAGTTTTTTGTTATATATCAGTTTGTAACAAAGTTTGCAGTATTCATTATACCATGTTATTGAATACCACAAAATAATATTTCTTGTCAAGTGCTGTTGAGTCGGTTTCAACTCATAGTGACCCTGGCCAGGGTTTCCAAGGAGTGGCTGGTGAGTTTGAACAGCTGACCTTGTAGCATAAAAATATTAAGTGACATTAAAATATGGTTGTTAATTCTAACAGTTTCTGTCTTGTGACAAGCACATTAGGGCATCTTTCCATATGTCGGTAAATTATTTTAAAAAATCAAAGATTCATTTCAGTAGAATTAACTACTTTCATGGCAGGAAGAGCTAGATTACTACAATAGAGTATCAGTGAACTTGATTCTTAGCGACAACCCAACGAACAGGCATAAAAGGTATCCATAAATTTTCACAGCATAGGTCTACTATACAGTAAAAAATAACAGCCAGGAGGAACACAGGAAAGAGCACTCTTGAAATCCATCAGCTGTTCCTCAGAAACCCTATACAGGATCCTATGAGTTTGAGTAGACTAGATGGCGATGATGGCAATATCTTGCCTTCCATTAATAGTCTGGCTTGGGTGCAAATCAGTTAACTTTCTGAGTTTTAATATCTTCCTCTGTCAAATGGTCTTAGATTTTTCATTTTTAAAACACCAAAATTCTACAGTATCTACAAAGTTGGGAAGAACTATTTAACAGCCCTGGTAGAAAAATACAAGACGGTTGTAACTTGCTAGTCGTCAATTTAAGTATTTCCGGAGCTGAATTCCTAAATCTTTGAAGTATACCAGTGAAAATTCCGTATTCAAAATGTTACTCTTTCCTACAAGCTTACATTTTTCCATTCTGTCTTCTGTTTAATTACGCCAGCAAACGATTTAAGCATAGGTATCAAATCATTTTTAAAGATCTTTCTTTTTCCAATCCTACATCATCTGCTTCATTAAATTCCTCCCAAATGGGTAATATTTAATTAAGAAAATAAAAAATAGCAGCAAACAACTTCAGAAACAGAAATACACTAGGCCTATTTTTTTCTTTGTGCTTTGATTGCTTTAAAAAAATACAACGGAAAGATGTATCCTAAAACTATTCCCTTAGGAATACGAATGCATCACCCGCCCAATGGGGGCGGGGGGGGGGAGCTCATTTCCCTGCTACACACACAGCAGCTTCATTGTCAGGTCAGTCCTAGCCCAGCCTTCATCTTCATCTAGTGATTTCATATTGATCACCTTGGCAGCACTTGGACTCCCGGAGGCGTAGTCCCTGCTTTTCAGGACCTTACATTCTTTAAATAAATAAAAGTCTGCTAAACGCCCAAACCAGAGATTTCACGGACCTAGAATACACTTCTTTCCGCCCAGAGTCAGCCCGTTTTTTCTGGAGAGGTGGAAGGAGGAGGGGTCCCCTTGCATAAAAGGGAGGAAACCACAGCAAACACTCCACTTGAATTTCAGGACAATGAAGCCGATAGGAAGCCACTCTCGGCTCCCTGGGCTTTACTACGGAGCCCGAGCCTGCGCGGGTGACATCGCCTGGCAGGGTGCGTGACACCACGTCTTCCACACCCTCCAACAGCGTCCAAACGGCTTGTCGCCCGGCCGCCCCCAAGCGCCTCACATCCCGACACCGACTGCACAAAAAGGACGGATCGAGAAAAACTCCCTCCAACCCAACGCCCGCGCCTTCCACAAACTGCTACGACGAAGGGAGGGGACTGGGCTGCACAAAGCCGGGAGGGTGCTGGAAATCGTGCAGTCCGTTCCGGGGAAGGCCGGGCTGGCAGCAGGACAGAGAGAATGGGGATGGGGGAGGGGAGGGGCTCCCCCCCCAGCTCCCGCGATGGGCGCGGGTGGGGGGTGGCGGCGCCGCGTGGAGCATCCGGGGTGCCTCCCCTGTCCCTCCAGGCCCCACATCCCGAGGCCATTTCGCAAACCCAAGGCTGCCCTTGGAAGAGGATGTGAAAAAGCGGCGGCAGAGATATGAGCAGCGCCTAACCAGAGCAGCCGAGTGCATCACTTACCCCTCACCACAGAGAGAGGGACCAGGTTGGGGAGGTCGGGTGCGTCGCGTCCCGTCCCGTGAGTCTCTCGCACGCCGTCCTCCCCCCTCCCCGTCGTCGTCGTCGCTGCTGCCGCGGACGAGCTACGGGCCCCTCAGCTCCGCTGGGCAATAACGTTATTCCACACACGCCCCACACATAGCGGTAACGGCAAAGAGCGGCCGCCTAGTGCGCAGGCGCCTCGGGGAAAGGCGAAGAGCCGATCCCTATCCCCTCCTCCTACCCTGTCCCATCAGTCTCGTACTGCGCAGGCGCCAAGAACAGACAATGAAAAGGGGTTTGTGCAGAGCGTCTCACCCACTAGCTCTTTCAGCTGCCCACTGCGCAGGCGTGACCCGAGACCGGCTTGAACAATGAAACGATCTCTGGCATTCAAGAACCGCAACCAAACAGGACTACAATTCCCAATGGGCAATGCGCCAACTCAAACGGGAGCTCGAAACGCTGAGCATGCTAGGATCTGTAGTGTCGGTGGTCTTCACAATCTAGCCTTTTCAAAGGTTTTGAGCTTCTTTTGCTTGAGAATTTACTTGGTCATTGTAACAAATTTCATTGTTGAAATAGAATTCAGAGCTTAGTCTTTCAGAAATCTTAGGGATCAACTGCATATTAACACATTTCGAATACTCAAGGCTTTCTGTGAGCTCCTTCTGTCAGGTGGTCCAGACAGAAGATAGAAGGCGGGACTAAATCAGGCAAGGCTGAAGAATGAGGGCGGGGCTTCCAAGCTGTTTCTTGGCAACAGACTCTGGCACCCAAACCGCCAAAGTTGCTTCCCAGGCGCGGTGTCCTCTGGGAATAGTAGTACAGCTGGAACGGCTATTAGCGTTTCGGGGCTGGAGGCCCTGAACCTGCATACTACCACTCCCGACGTGCACCATAAGGACCAATGGGTAGGAAGAGTCCCCACGAACTCGGTTCCAGGCTCCCCAGTGACAGCAGCGGCAGGAAGCAGGCGGGAGCTCCCCAGGCATTAGGCCTGTTGTTCTTGGACGTGGTCACTCTGGACAAGTCCCCACGTAGTTCCCATCTCTGGGCCCTGGGTCCGTGAATGGCGAAGTCCCCGGGGAACTCTGCCCTGGAGGAGATTCTAGGGCAATATCAACGGAGTCTCCGGGGTGAGTTGCTTCGAACCACTGTGCCCCAGACCCTTGGGACCCTGACCCTGACCAGGTGCGTTTCCTGACCCCTTGGTTCGACCACAGTCTGGATCGACTCCAGCTTGGCTGCCTATGAAGAAGATGGATGTTGCTCTCATCTCTAAGCAAGCATGAAATAGTTTGATTTTGTTTTGACGCTTAAGCATCTTTACTTCCCTTGATTCCTCTAGTTACCTGAACCAAATCTCTGATCTTGACTTGAGCGTCTTTCTCAACCAGTGCCAGTAGAAACTCATGGACAACTCTTAAGTCACTTGTATCCAGTTTTCTTACTTTGCTCTTTAATTGAATTAGTTTATAATTCACGTGTTTTGCATATTGAAATATATTGGGACAAAAGTGAATTATTGGATGGGGAAAAACTAGTAATGATTTTCATCAAAATAACTTCTTTTTTTTAGTATTCTAGGCTATCTACACACATTAGCTTGTTTACAACTTAACCTTATGGCTATACTTATTTTACACATAGAAAAATCAAGGCTCGGAGAGCTTAAATGATATGCAAAAGGCCACACAGCTTATTACTGGCAGAGCCGGAATTTCAGTTCAGTTCTGTCTTCCTTCAAGCCTATGTTTTGGCGATTTTCTTATTATCCATGCCACAGTCACTATTAATGAAACCTTATTCCGCTAATTCAGATTTCCCTTGTACAGTTTTCCATGATTGAATATCTACACAAGTGATTTTCAGACTCTGCTATCTTGGACAATTTAGATAAATCTAGAGAGTTTGTTTTATTTTGCTTTTGTGTTGTTGTTTAATGGAGGATATGGTGCTGTCTGCTGATTTATTGTGCAGAGCAACTGAAATCGTCCACGTAAAGGAGATTTTAATACTTATTTTACCACCATAACCCCTAGTTGTTTAAGTGCTGCGGAGACGGTTCCGACTCTTAGTGACCCTGTACAGAGTTTCCGAAGAGCAGCTGGTGATGTTGAACCACCTACATTTTACATGAGCCATGTGGTGGTGGTGGTGGTGGTGGTGGAGTCGCTTCCGACTCATAGCGACCCTGCATAAGGTTCCCGAGGCTGTAAATCTTTGTAGGAGCAGAAAGTCTCATCTTTCTCCAATAGAACCGCTGGTAGTTTCAAACTGTTGATGTTGAGATTAGCAGTCCTACTTGTAACCACTATGTTACCAGAGTTCCTATGGGACATATACTTGGGTCAAATATAACAAAAAGAAGTTTTACTAAAGAAAACTTATTCCATTACATGTGATACACTTTATTTTCATTATATTTCATTGTCATAACCCAGTTTGAAAAACAAAAAACAAGAAACCTGATTTAAGCCATATAAGAACATCGACTCATGTGGCAAATGTTCAGTGCCTATTAGGCATACAGGGTGTTTAGAAACACTCTAAGGTCCCTGCTTTAATGGAGTCACTGGACTAAGAGATTTGGGGAGAAATATGATAAGGTAATTACAGATCATTATAATAGAAAATAAAGGTATGGATCCCTGTGCTTGGCACATCAGCAACTATGATTAACTGTTAGCTGCTATTTGTACTTAGTACTGGCAACAAAGTGAGAATTTTTCTAGATTACAAAATTTATCTTCTAATGACTAAACTTTGCAAGAGTAATTATGTATCATTCACCTCTGTCAGCAATGTTACAGACTATTCTCAATTTCCAAATTATAGATGTAAAAAAATCAGTCTAATGTTTCAAAAGCTGTTAGATATTTAAATAAACACAACTTTTCATTGAAAGCAAGAAACACACAATGCTCAATGAACTGTTTTGTTTAATTTTTGAGGTTGGTAAAAATTTTTTATTTCTGTCATAGGCTTCTAATGCCTTTGGCCTTATTTTGAGCCTTTATGTAAGCCTAGAAAATAATTTAATATTAGGCATTTTGATGCCTAATGTTGTAAATTAATGCTGTAGTAGTGCTGTGGGGTAAGAATAGACCCCAAGGTCAGTTTGAACCACAAGGTCAGCAGTTCAAACTCACCAGCCACTCATTGGAAACCCTATACAGGGTATGACCCTCATTATGAGTTGGAACCGACTTGATGGCACTTAACAACAACAACCAGTATGTTTAATACCTGTGGTACTGCTGTCAGTAATCGTAAAGAATTTTATTTCAAATATAATAAATTTTAAAGTCATTTCATTTATATTATGACAATATAATGTTATTGTTGTTATGTGCCGTCAAGTCGATTCCAACACATAGTGACCCTGTATATGGTTTCCAAGGAGCAGTTGATAAGCTTGAGCCACTGATTTTGCAGTTCAAATGACTTTGCAGTCTGACGCATTAGCCTACAGCACCACATCAGGACTCCGCATATGACAATATAATAAGATAATAAAAACAGCCAAAGGCAAATATAAGGCAGAGAAAATAGTTTATCAGTTTTTATTACTACTGTTAATGCCTAGTTTTAAACAGTTAATCTGAAAGAGAAACTAAATTCTTCATGGGTTTTTAGGATTTATTTTATTATTCATTTAGTAGCAATTTAATTTTTTTTATTAGTTTATATATGTCCTAGTGTGGTACTGTGGGCTAAGCAATGAACTGCTAACCACAAGTTTGATGGTTCAAACCCATCAGCCACTCCTCAGACCATATTCAGGATTGCTGTAAGTTGGAACATGGCAACAATAGTGAGGTTGGCCCAGGATCGGGCAGTGTTTCGTTTGGCTGTGCATTAAGGTCGCTATGAAGTACCAACTCGATGGCACATAAGAACAACAACAATGAGTTAGAACTGATTCAATGTTTCTTGACAACAACATAATCGCTTCTGGAAGGAAATGAATCAGTAGCTGACTCTGAATTTAAGTACAAGCAGAAGTTCACGTTACTAATACGAATTACCACTTAGTAACTTTTTCTCTTTGAGTCTATTCCACTAGTGGCAACCTGATGTAACAAAAGTATAGCTGTAACCTAGGGCTTTCTGGGCGGTAATCATTACAGAAGCAGATTGCCAGGCCTTTTCTGCAGTGTTGCTGTATGGATTTGAATTCTCAAAGGAGAAAACCTTAAAATACAAATTTGCATCCCCAAATAAACAAAGTATGGTGGAGTTATTTTACATGTAGCATTCCATTACTTTTAGTTTTTATGCCTAATGATTTAAGAACAACATTAACATACAAATAGAATCAGATCAAATGCAATTTGAAGTTCATTTGTCTTATAATGTTTGTTTTTGTTGACTTACTTGATTTCTATATGCATCATTGTTGTTATTATGAGTCGGTTCCAACTCATAGCGACCCTGACCCTATATAGGGTTTCCAAGGCTGTAAATCTTTACCGGAGCAGAAAGCCTCATCTTTCTCCTGCAGAACAGCTGGTAGTTTTGAACTGCTGACTGTGAGATTAGCAGCCCGATTCATAACCACTATGCTACCAGAGCTCCTTGCATCATTACTTCCTCAAAATGTCTTGTCTAATTCATGCTTGTTTGTTGTTCTTAAGTGCCGTTGCGTTGGTTCTGACCCATAGTTAGAACTGCCAACCTTGCAATTCAAACTGACCTTGCAGTCCAGTGTATTATCACACACCAGGACTCTAATTCATGTCTAAAGGAAGGCTAGTAAACATTCTTGGTCTTTCCTCACTAGTTTTTCCTGTTACTAAGTTGTACATGTAAACATTGTTAATATCACTTCATTTTTTTAAAAAATGTTTTATTGTGAATTAT